TGGAAGTTAAAACCCACCCCTCTCCTAGAAAAATGAAATATTTTAGGATATACTAAAAAGGCAGAATATTTTCCCTAAAAGAGAAGTAGAAACTCAGAGAGGCAGAAACTCAGCCTCCCACCTTTGTCAATGGGCCATTAAGGCCTGAGCCAGTCTATTCTACATAACAAAGGTCTACCTCCTTCAGGCAGAGCCATAATAGGAATCCCAAAGCCCTTTCATTACATCATCATCCAGCAAGGCTCAATCAAGCCTGGGACTCAGAACAGTCTACAGAGTTGCCTCTGCATGGCCCCATGGGAGTCTGACAACCAATCAGAACACAAGCTCTAATTCAAAGCCCAAGAGAGGGCATAAAACCCAGGGACCTTCAGCATTACTTCCCTTTTTTCACCCACAATCTCCAAGCCATGTGGTCCTGCCCACCATTAAACCATCTTTCCAAGCAGTCACCATGTTTCCAGTGTCTTTCTTCCCCATTAGGAACTGAACGAAGGAGGATATTTCTTCCAACAATATCTTACAGCATGAGAATACATTCTTGCATTCTTTATCTTTATAAAGCAAATACAAAGCTCCAATTTCAGAAGGAAACGTATTAAATAACGTTGGGAATCCAATCCAAAACTCATCTTTTTTTAACTCATCTTTTTTCATGAAAGAATCAATATATTGACATGCATCTGTTAGCACAGTTATGTGAGCGTAAAATTCAACACTTACTCTCAAAATAATATTTACTATGTTTAGAGATTTCATGTAGATAATAGAAACTCACATCTACAAATATCTGAGTCTGATTTTGTCTTTTTATGTAAACAATAAGCCTGCTTTGGAATGATTTCTGGTGCTTCAGGAGATGTTTCTTCATAAGCTTGCTGCTGTGTATTCTTTAAAGTTTCTTTTAATGGCTCCTCTATGGATAATGCAATCACATTATCAACTGTCTTTAAAACAATAAAGCAGTATTAGATGTCACAAATGAAGTACAATATCCACTGAAAATGAAAGATCCAAAAGTCTACCTTGTTGCTCATAACCTAAATACTGGCAATCCCAGGGCTGTAAATAAACTCAATATTATAATATTCAGCTAATGATGCTTATGTAACAATTCCATTTTTTAGTTTCCCAAATACAGGTAGTCCTTGATTTACAACAATTCATTTAACGACCATTCAAAGTTACAATGGCATTGAAAAAAGTGACTTATGACCATTTTTCACGCTTACGACCTTTGCAGCATCCCCATGATCATGTCATCAAAATTCAGATACTTGGCAACTGGTTCCTACTTAGGAGCATTGCTGTGTTCCAAGGTCATGCGACCTTCGGACAAGCAAAGTCAATGGGGAAGCCAGATTCACTTAACAACCAGGTTACTAACTTATCAACTGCAGCAATCCCTTTAACAACTGAGGCAAGAAAAATCATAAAATGGGGCAAAACTCACTTAACAAATGTCTCACTTAACAACAGAACTTTTAGGCTCAATTGTGGTTGTAAGTCAAGGACTACCTGTATATAAGAAAGAAAAGGAAAGCTAGAAGGAGATGTTTTGCTCTCCAGAAAATTGCCAGACTAATAAAGGCATTAACCCAATTTGTCTCCTTAGTGGAAATGGAACTCCAAAGCTTTGAAATGGTGGAAAATAAGTCACCTTGTATGGGAGATGTGACACATAAAAATTTAATGAAACAAATCAATAAAATAAACTCAAAAATTAGAACAAGAAAATGGTAAAAAGAAAATGGAAAGGGGACTAGAAGAAAAAGCAGGACAGTGAACTAGGAAAAAAAGATAAAAAGAAGAAACAGTGGAAAAGGAAAATGTAGGAACAAAAACTCAGGGAGCAAAGAGATAAATAGGCTGAAAACTGAAGAGAGAGTGAGAGAAGGAAAAGAAAAGAATCCCACTGGAAGAAAACTCAGAACTGAAAATAGCTGTAATTCGTGATACTAATTTGCAAAGAATTTCTTGCTTAGGATTCTGTCCCCTTCTTTGCTGAGGGGTATAATGCTGCAGCAAATGGATACCAGTTTGGGCAAAGCAAGATGGTAGGGAAAAGGCGCTGATATCATTGTTATCATATGCTATTTGGGCATACTATTTGCTTTTTCTAATAAAAGTTGTGATAATAGTCCTAGGATCCTGGCAAAATCACTGCTAGAATAATGGGTGTGAAGCTTCACTATCTTTTGATGGGAAAAACTTATTTTCCGCACAGGTAACGTGAACCATCCAGAAGAATATAAGAGATTCTGATTGCACTTAACATGAGTGGATATTAGAACAAAGAGACAAAAAACATACATGGCAACTGGAATAGAGAATGTACACAAATATTCAGCTGCAACTTTCTTGTTTAAAAAATTGTTCCTGTAATACTTTAACATTAATTATACAAAATATCACAAAAACCTGCTCTTCTTTCTGTTTAGTTGCCTCAAGTGGCTCTTGAATTAAAGATGGAGATGGAGAAACACCAAAGAATGGAATTTCCAACCTTGCTGGTGTTGCAGGTTTGCGCTCAGGCATATATTTCATATCTTTGGTCACAATCATTCTTTCATACACTGAGGAAATAAAGCAAATTATCGTATCTGTTGAGACTACACATTTATTCTCTATCATTTCAATCAGAAATCTGTAGCTGAAAAAAGCAAGCTTTACTAGCTTAAACTGAAACTAAGTGTTCCTTAACTAAAGTAAATTGTTAACATTTGTTGGATTCCATTCTCTCTTTCTTTATTTGAAATAGCGTTGAATTATCTTCCTCTAGTCTAGTGTTTCATGTAAAGGCAGGTAATATATAGTATTTCTGCCCTCTATTTCTTAAAATGGCAGCTGCTTCAATGTCCAGCTTAGATGTTTGTTTTCCCTCTGCACTAGATGAAATATATGACACATATAAATATTGTTCAGTTTCTAATTTGGTGTACTAATTTTACAGTTTCAACCATTTATTTGACAAAATTTGGAGGTTCTGCTTAATATTCAGAAATCTTTGGCTTTTGCTAGTCCTGTTTAATTTCCAAAGTGAGCAAGATATCCTCTTACAATTAGGAATAATATTTTTTGTTAGATCTACCACAATACTTTGTTACAACCCAGAATCGATGAATTGGGAACCACAGTTCAGTGATAAGTAGATAAACTGCTGGGCACATCTTTCCACCTATATAGTACTGAGAAGAGATTATAAAGTGGAAACAAACTGCAGAAAAAGGAGGAATAGAAAGGACAAATAAATGAGATTAAGAAAACAAAGCATATATAATCAAGATGAAATGTACAATTGATTTTTCCTTTTTTGTTTCATCAGGGCATTACATGGGCAATCATTTAATCATAATATAATTATGATTATAATAATAATTCCTAGTTTTCCTCCATTATTCAGCTTTTAGTGCACACCAGTCAAACTAAATGAAGATATTGTTAAGCTAGAAAAAGTATGCTCATTGGTCTGCGATAGAATAAGACAGAAAATGTATGGCTTTCAAATAATGGGTACTATACTCATGTCAGAAATGTATTAATTCTCAAAAACATTACTTTTAGCTTTATCTTGTTCTTCTAAGTCATGAGTTCCAGCTTGGAGAAGGAAATCAAACATTTTTAAAGATACCTCTGAGGTACAAGGAGACAAGTATATCATAGAGGGAGCTACCGGTATCTTCCAGAATGCCTAAGGGATGGAAAAAAAGATGTAATTGGGATTGTAACTTGCTATAAAAAATAAAACTTATTTTATTAATTGCTTATTAATTATATGCAAACAAATTTGGATATATCTTACACTATTTGTAGGACCCTTTAAATACTACAGAAACTATGATTTCACTCACTAAATCGGGGTCCCCAAACTAGGCCCACTTTAAGACTTGTGGACTTCAACTTCCAGAATTCTTCAGCCAGCTGGCATTAAATGATACATTAGCAATTGTTATTAGAAAGGTAGGCTATCTTAAGTATTTTCTTTTTCCTTTACCTAACTATATTCATCACAACCAAATCATGACAGCTTCAAAAGCAAAGAAGCATGACCTTTAATTCTCAACTTTATTAAAATTGCACTACACTGATTAACAATTCAACATTTAACAGCACTGATATTACTTTGTATTCCACCCTTCCTTCAAGTAAACCTTCTGAACTCCATTTATAGATATATTTATTTTCAGAACAACTTCACTGAAGTAGACTAAACAAAAGCCACCCAATAAGTCAAATAAGAAAACAAATATTACTTAGAAGACCCCCTCCCTGAAACTCCGTTCTATCTTTAATAAAATAAGAACTAGCTAGTAAAATAGGAAAGAATTTTGTTTCCTTTATAATTACATTATACTCTTAAGAAGTTTATTCTGCTGGTATCAAACTTGATTGCTTTGAGACCATCATTAATTAATTCATCCACAGTTTTATTCATTAAATCACACTAGCCAAATCTTATAGAGATAGGATAGAAGTATATTTTTATTTATATTGTAGACCTAGGTAGAGACTGAAAAAAAGTACATTTTTCTTTATATTGCAGGCCTTTTGTATTCTTACCTTTCCTTTCTTCTCTGGCAAAACCTGCAATTCTGATGTAAAATCTTCAGCAAAGGAATATCCCTTATAAGGCACCTAACCAAAAAAAGGCAAATAAAAACAGTAAATGTTGGCACTATATTATATTATGGCACTATAACTTTTAATATTATAATACATGACATTTTAGCCACTTGATATCTGTGTTAGAAAGTTTTATATTTAAAATTTATAATTCTGTCTTTTATATTTTACCTCTTATTTAATGAAATGAGACTTATCCTAAGGTGAGTAAAGAACTGGCATCTTGGTGAATTAAGTGGTTTGCACTGTATGTAAAGCGAAATATGATGCCAATGAGAAATCAAAGCTAAGCATCTACTGAATTCTTAATATTTAAAAAAAAACAGAAAATATCATGTAATAACATGCTCATACACGATACAGAAAAATATATTTGTTCATACCATATTCTAAACTTACATTCTAAAAAAACCCCACAACTAGAATTTCCCCTTGGTGTTATTATGCTAGAGTACATCTAACAGAGGGTGGGAGACTCTGCATCTAATATTAAATGCTGTTTAGTTTAGTGGTCTATGTCTTTAATACTCAGTGTGGTTTCAGGTCTTCAGCTGATTAAAGTAATATCAATAGAGTACATACCAGATATGAAGCCATCTCAATTGATTTAGGGGCATCCATTTTGTAATGATAATCTAAAAGCTGGCTTTCAAAAATATAGGATTCTAGAAAAGAGATCACAATGGAGATACTAATATTGTAACACTACATGATAGTTAAATTCTTTTGATTTTAAAAAAACAACATTTTTTAGAGCACTGCACACCAGAACTAGACACAAGAACAGTTTTTCCTGAATGCCATCGCTCTGCTAAACAAATAATTCCATCAACACTATCCAACTATTTACTAAGTCTGCATTACTATTACTATTAATATTCTCATTGTTCCTATCACCCATCTCCTCCCACTTGTGACTATGACTGTAACTTTGTTGCTTGTATCCTTATGATTTATATTGACTGTTTCCTAGTATGATTGATTGCTTATTGTATCCTTATGACTATCATTAAGTGTTGTACCTTATGATTCTTGATGAATGTATCTTTTCTTTTTATGTACACTGAGAGTATATGCACCAAGACAAATTCCTTGTGTGTCTAATCACACTTGGTTAATAAAGAATTCATTCATTCATTCATTCATTCATTCATTCATTCGTTTTAATTTAGAATTAAACAATAAGGAAACCTAATTTGCTTTTCTTGTGAATAAACATGTCCCAGGGTAATGTTGCAGGATCCAATCTGACTTGGTCACCAGGACCAAAGGTTTATTCTTCCAACATTTCGGGTTCATGCTGAAGCCCATCATCAGGGAACTTTTCTCCCTTCAGAATATCATGTTTTTCTTCTACTCATTACTGATATTCTATTTATACTGATATAAACGGATAGCGAACACAATTTGCTTTTCTTGAATCCTTATCCTGCCAAACCTGATGTCATTTTGAGACCTTGGAGACATAGGTTACATGTAATAAAATTTGGACCAGCCTTAAATAAGTTCAGTTTCTCAAATTCAGTAATACGAACCACTTTCTCCTTCCTTTGTTGCATTTGATCAGAAGCATGGGTATCAGCAGGTAACAAAATAGACGTCATGATACAAACACCACAACTTAGGACTTGCAGTGATACAGGGATACAACAGTCTAAAAATGGGGTTTGCCTCATGACATTACCATGTGCATGCCATTATTTTGATGCACACTTGGTTTGCTGCAGATGCTCCTGATCAGGAGTTACTTTTTCAAATAATTTCACTATTCACAGCTCATATTATAAAGATATGCAAATGTCTCATGAACCTTACTTATGAAAGTAACTATTATTTCTCATAATAATAGTTATTGCATCCCTTCCTAAGCAAAAAAGGTGGAATGGCAAAATTATATTTTTGATGAGTGGCATTAAGCATGAAGCACTTGGAAACCCTTCTTATAAAGAATGAACTAGTTTGTGAGTTTGGGTAATCCCGAATTTTGCCAACTGGGATTTACACAGCAAATAACTTGCTTTGGCGAACTAGCATGCATTCAACAAATGGTATTAATAATGCAGGCAAGTAATTTAGGGTCCTCTAGACTTGCAGGTACTGCTTGAAGAGACTTTGAAGAGACTTCAAAAAGATCATTCATGTCCTTGCCCCTTCACAATTGCAACTCATTCTACATGGGGCTATCCTTGAGGACCATCTCAAAGCAACAGCTGGTTCAAAATGCACCAGTGTGGACAGTAATGGGTGTTTTTCATTATGCCCATGTCTCAACATTGCTTTGCAAACTGCATTGGTTACCAGTTGGCTTCAAGATGCAGGTCAAAACCTGTAAAGCCCTTCATGGTCTGGGACCTGGTTACCTATCTTCACTTGTTTCTTCCCATCCAGTACAATCAGGGAGAATAGGTATGTCCAGGTCCCTTCAATTAAATGTCATCTTGCAGACCCAGGAAGTGTGACTTCCCTGTTGAGGTTTTGCCCTCTGAAATAGCTCCTCCAGTTCCCTTCAAGGTATGTACAGTTTCAATGTTTGCAATCTTATGGCTATGTGTCCCAGTGGAGTGAGGAGGTGTCTTTGGAAATAGGCTATATATAATAATTTCTATGTTCAGTAGGTATGCACAAATATTATTCATCTGTTTTTTATTTCCCGTCCATGTAATTATTTTTAGTTCATATTTCTGTAAATTTCCCAAAATTTGTTGATACCTCCATTTTTGTGTGCAAATGCTTTGGCTATCTAAGAATCCACATGCACACAATGAATTCCCTATTAACACATAGAACAACTTACTGGACACAAAGCAGTTGCAGTATTGAAGGTCTTAATTTCCACTAAATGTAGCATTGTACGCATCTCAATTAAAAGGGTTGGGGTAGACATATAAAAAACACACTACTCAGTTAATATCATAATTAAGATTACCTGCTTCTATAACTTTCGCAGTTTGAATACTAGTTCTCAAAATGTGCAACATTTTACTGTGATATAAGATATAAATATCATTTTTGAAAGCCAGTAAAATATCACCAGAATTATTGAGGAAGCAGGCTGTGCTTAAAGTATTATCAAGTCTGATCTCAGCTATTAGGTCTTTGTAAATATTCCATAGTTTTATTGCAGCATCTGAACTAGAAAATAAAAGAAATACTCATAATACAGAATTTACTTTTAGGCAAATGCTTAAGTTCAAAATTCACATACCACTAAAATACATAGGAAGCAAATTGTATAGACATTTTTGTTTCAATTTAGCTTGTAATCAAATTTCGACTCAAAACTGTGTCTAATAGTTCATTCATCAATACCTTAGATCAGTGGTTCCCAACCTTTTTTTCGCCCCGCACCCCTAAAGAAATTTCACTCGAACCTCGCACCCCTTGAAATAAATAATAAATAAAAATGCCAACATATAGCCAATATCCTATTATTTACCTGGACTTTTCTCGCACCCCCTGCAAGCACCCCAGGTTGGGAACCCCTGCCTTAGATGAATAAAGAAAAATGTTTCCTCTTCAAAATACACATCAGTTGCATTTTTTATTTTAACAGAATTATAATGAAATGGTACTTTAATTATTTTAACACTTGCTGAGAAAAAAATCCAAGCATAGTCCTTTTAGGAAATTCCTTAATTGTCTATTGACAATTTTGTCAAATATGTATCCCAGACTTCAAAACAATATATTTTAAACCAGTAGTACTTATGTCAGTGGTAAAATCCTTAGCAAAAGTAACTCATCAGAAAAGATTCTCAGCTGGATGGGAATTCCTAAAGGAGAGAATAATAAAAATACAACTGCATCTAATTCCTAGGAGGAGGGGAAAAAATGAAGTTTCAGGTAAAGCATTACTTTACACACAAAACTTAGAAAAGGTCTAAAAGTAAAACAAAAACTGGAAAGAGGATCAGGCCACAGAGAAGCAGTGTAGATGGAGAAACAGAGGGAAGGGAGAAAGGAGATGGTCTTTCACTGAGGAATCGAAGACTCTGCCTAAATTCCTCAGTGTAACACGAGATAATTCTAGTTTATTTCATTGGAAAAGATGTGGTAGCACAGTGGTTAGAATGCAGTTTTGCAGGCCAACTCTATTCACTGCCAAGAGTTTGATGCTAACCTCCTCAAGGTTGACTCAGCCTTCCATCCTTCCTTCTATCAATGTAGCTAATAGAAATCTTTCTAATAGAAAAACCCTTTTCTATCAAAAGCTCAGAATGAAATGTGGTTAGCAGAGAATCCCAAGAATAATAAACAGGGTTTCTTTCATTTATATTCAAAAAATTTTAAAAAAAAGGAAAAATGGGGAAAAAATCAGCATACTAGCTGCTCAGTGAAGAATATAAAATACTAATAAAAATACTAATAAATACTAATAAAAAAATCAGAGCTATTCAATTTTTTTTAGTTCAAACCTCCAACAGGAAATTATGAAGACAGGTTGATTATATCTGATCAGGTAATCCCTCTTTATTCTGCATGACCTGAAACTTCCTTGACTGGATGTATTGCATCCTAAAGCAACGAAAGCTTCCTATAAAGTTGAGTGTGTTAGGTTGTAAAGGAGGAGACAATTCCACCCTGCTGGATAGCAGTAAGAATGTTTTAGAAATAGTTGTGGCAGCCCTCCTAATAAAAAACCCAAATGGAAAATCAAGGAATAGCCGCCAAATACCCTGCCAAGCATTATTTTTCAGAGTACCAATCTTTCTTTTCTTTTCTTTTTAAAGGGGCACTGGTTTGTCTGCAATCATCATTGCACTATTTCATCACTTTTTGACCTTGTTTTATAAAAGGGCAACACTGATTTATTTACCTACCCACAACTGAGAAAGACAGAAAGATTCTTGCAGGAATCCACTGATATCACAGGACCCTCGTGGTAGGTTGCTGGAAGATTTTTTTCTTCTATTTTCTCTTGAAGACAGAACATAAACACCAGTTCTGAATTATGCTACATAATTCCACAGTTTGAATACACCTTTTATTTTTAAACTATTTTATTACTATCTATTCTACAGGATTTTTTTCTCTGCTTCTATAGATTTGTTAATTGCTGTATGGCTACTTTTGGACAGTAATACCACAAACCATAGTATGACTAAAATTTACAGAGGGAATAAATTCACACTTACTCTTTAACATACTGTAAGACAAATGTTTTTTTCTTTCAAGCATTTCAATTTGCCATATATAAGTCCTAGTAAGGCCTCTTTCAGTGTCAAAATAGTTCCCAATGAGTATTTCAATGTGTAAGCATTATTCCCAGTATATAAGATAATATTTTAAAATTTAATATTTTAAAATTAGGGTTTGTCCTAAATTAGGTCAGGAAAATTGTTGATGTAGCCCTGTTTCTGCTTATTATAATCAGCATATGCTCCCAACAGTCTTAGACTCAGTTGTCATTTGTTCCCCAAACTCTAAAGATGCATGTGGTTTGTTATCTGAGCGTAATTGTCCAATAAACTTTATTTCAAGACATGGTGTAAATATTATAGATAAAAATATCTAAAAATTCATAGCAAATTAGGTGTCCCTGAAGGAACAGGGAAGGCATTGTAGTGAAGATCGGCATCCACATGATGATGAATTCTAGTCAGTGAAGTCTACCAGGAAAAGGAGAAATCATAAGATTCCCAAATGTAATTCAGTGGTTAAGATTTGCCCAGTCTCATCTTAATCACTTTCAGAAATTGCTTCTTAACTATTTTTCAGTTAATAGTTTTCTTCAAACCTTAGCAAAAAGAGTTTTAAATACAAGTTTAAGGATTTTTAAAAATTATTTTTGGAAATAAATAGCAAAAGGGTGATTACAGCATGGAATTTTGGAAAGTTACAAATGGACTAAGGGTCCAGATGGATTTGAAATAAGTTTTTGAAATTAAAAATCCTTCCATCCTTGATGCACTTTTGAATTCTTTAAAAAAATGACAGGATGGGATTATCAAAGTTGGACATTAGAGGGATCAGAAGGAACTTAAAATTACAATTAAAGAAGAATAACACTAACATTTGACTTACCAGTACACAGCAAAATAATTAAACAATGGACATATTGAAGGATATTTGTGAATAAATTACACAAATTAATTTTAAAATTATACCGTAATTGCCATTATAGATAGACTGTCTTTAAAAGATATCACGTATATTATGGAAGCAGAAAAACATTTTCCAAACAAGACTGAGACTTATTTGAAAGTGCATTTAAAAATGACAGATTGCAAGAATGATATGGAAAAAGATGCTACACTGCTGATGTCTTAATAATTAAAAGAGATTTACAAATAACAAAAAATGACCTAGGTAACTTTCCTATACTGCATTTACAAAAGAAACTTGTTAAAGTTTTGAAGAATTTTATGAGATAAAGAAGAACTGAAAAGCAATCCAGTTTTAGGACAATATTGGAAGGAATTTTAAAAAATGTTAAAAATAAAAGGAAAGAATATAAAATTAGTTTATTTGATCAAGATTAAGATAAACATATTATCTCTGATAATATTTAATGGACTTGATTCTCTATTGATACAGAAGTTATTACTGACATAAATGGACATTATTTAATTTTATGGACTAAAATAACAGAGATTGCAGTAGTTATAGTTAATGTTTATGGACCAAATCTAAATTCCAACGAAATATTGGACACTAACTTGAGAAAACATACTACTACCCAAAAAACATTAGTAAGATTTATAAAGATTTATATGAAGATTAAGATGTATATGAAAGAACTGAATTTAATAGACTCCTGGCATTCAACTGTATTTTATTTTATTTAAGTGTCCACCACAATTTTATTAAGTTTGAGCAGGAAACAACTAGTACGCATGTGCGAGGGGAACCTTTACCTTTATTTTTTAATAACATTGACCTTATCACACCAAATAGTACAATTGCTATGAAATGAGCATTTCAGAAACCCACTAAGGTATCAAGAAATTATTGTTTTGGGGACATCTGGTTGCTTGTCATCAGAGTGGAATCCGCGATCGTGCGTAATATTGCTCTGAGCTCACTTGTTGGAGGGTCCTGATTGAGATCAGAACCACCCTGGAGGGGTGGTGAAGAAAGGGGGAACTGTTTGGAGGGTAGAGGGGAGCCACAACTCCCCTCCCTGACAAGAAAAACCCCTTCCAAAGAAAAGTTTGTGCGGTGGTCTAAAATGGCCACCATGAAGATGGGAAGCAATCCAGGAAACTAAGACTGTGCTGGAATGGTGAAGTAGTGAGCGGAGTGTGAACCAGGTGAAACACATAGACTTTAAGATACCTTGGGATTAAGAAATAAAGAACTATTTTGGAGGAAAGTGTGTATAGGTGACCACCAGAGAGAGTGAGAAGGAAATTGGAACTTATAAAATTGGCTTGAATATTGCAACGAAGTAACTTAAAGGAGAAAATTCAGAGGAAAATATTTGAACACAAAAGGCTTGGAAATTAAATTGGATAACTATTGGACTTTTGGCACTAAATAGGCATGTAAATGCTGGAATTGAATGTGTTGAAAAGAAATAATAGCTAATAATTGAAATTAGTGAACTTAAAAGTTTTATAATAAAAAAAGAAAGCAAAAAGTTAAAGAGTCGATTGTGGAAAAAAATTCAAGAGTGCCATCTGATAGTACAGGAAAAATTTCAATGAATCTTTGAAAAGTGTTTGGTCTTTCTAATTAATTGGACTTTGGAATTTAAAAAATAATAAGAGAAACTTCATCATAATAAAATAAAAACCCTGAAAAGCGATACCAGAATACTACAAGGGGAAAGATACTTGAAAATATTACCTTGGAACCACCCGGTGATTTTGGGAAACAGTTGGAAAAGGACCTTACAGAAGACCTGGAAACAAAGACTTATGAACATTGATTGTTGAAAATAAATATAAAAGATACTGGTTGAAACAATATACTGGAGTTTTGGAGCGGATATATTTACTAAGGAAGAAAGAGAAGGGAAAAAAAGGAGCAGACACAATGGGGGAATTACTTATTGAGATAAGATTGGATTTATAAGATATGAAGGAAATGATGAAAATGAGTCTGGAAATGTGTAGCAATATATTACAGAAATTAGAAATGGTGATTCAACTTGAAGAAGAACAAAGGGAACCAGAGGGGGAGGAGTTAAATAAAGGGGAAACCAGCTTTGAAGATCAAGCCGAGTAACAATCATTTAAGCAAGGGGAAAAAAGAATTAAAATTAAAAATTTGTGGCTTGAAGTGACAATAAAAGGGGGAATGGTTTGGAAAATGAAACAAAGGAAAGGAAAAAAGCAGAGGAGGGAAATACAAAAGAAAGATTGAGAGCAAGAGGGGGATAAAATAAATAACTGGAATGAGAAATGGAGAGATATAATAATGGGAAAAAAGGGAATTAAGAGACAGGACCAGAAAATAAAGAGAAACAGGAAGCAAACAAGAATGAAAAGAAATTACATTGTTAGGAGAGTGAGAGATAATGGGTAAAAAAGGAGAGGAAAAGAGATTCCACAAGGTAATAGGTTGTGATATGTAAGAATAAGTATTGAAAATAGTTAAGACTGGAACTGATATTGTTTTTTCTTTCTCACTTTTGTCTTTTTTATTAAAGGATTATCGCTATATTAGATATGGAATTTAATGAAATAAATATGGAAATGAGAATTTATAATAAGAATTTCAATTGATGATCAGTGATGTATAAAATGAGAATCATTATGGAAAGATTAATATCACTTTCTATAATTAATTGACGATTAATATTTTTCAATGTAGAGATGATTTATAAGGTGATTGAGAAAATACTATGCAGAATCTGATTTAAAAGATGTATATATATATCTGTAGTAGATAGAGAAATATTGTTATTATAGTAGAATGAAGGTGGTAAGCTCGAACAAACAACTAAAGTGGACAATTCTTAGAATTAATAGAATAAGGATTGATAAAATTACAAATGTGACAGATAAGGGCAATATGAATATAGAAATAAGATAAGAATTTTAGATAATATGGTAAAACAAGATATGAGAATATCCTAAAAAAATGAAATAAGTTAAGATATGAACTGAGATTGGATAAAATAAGGCTAATGAATTTAATATTAGTACGTATTGTGATATGAAACTATGGTCATGTTTGTGTTGAGATGTGAAACCTGGAACCACACTGCTTGCCAAAAGAGAATTTTTATTTAAAAAATAAAAAATAAAAGAAGAAATGAATAATGAACTAGATATGTCTAAATAATACGGTAATTGGCACTAGAAGAAATATTGAATAATTAAACAATGAAGGATTATAATTTAATGCAAATATGTGTATTAAGAGAAATGATTATTATCTTTGTCTGTATGATGCGTTGGTGCCACACTGTTTATCTATTGATGTGCATATGAAGATTACAATAAAAAAAACTTGACAAAAAAGAGAAATTATTGTTTTAATGTTTCCCACTTGAATAATAAAGTTTTTGATTTGAATTCAATTTTTTAAAATAAGAATCATATAAAGCATATTTTCAAGGTAGAATTATTCTTTGTGCATCAAAAATAAGATTAAAAATAAAAATAATTTGAAAGATGAATCAAAACATTATGGGCACAAATGGTAGATGCCCATCTACAATTGCTTGCAGAGAAATATAGAAAAAGATATATGAATTAACTACTATGAGCCTCTATGGCGCAGTACTGCAGGCTACTTCTGTTGACTGCCAGCTGCCCGTAATTTGGCAGTTCAAATCTCACCAGGCTCAAGGTTGGCTGAGACTTCCATCCTTCCAAGGTGGGTAAAATGAGGACCCAGATTGTTGAGGGCAATAGGCT